TATCCTGCAGCTCTTGTGGCAGGCTCCTACGGCACCAGGAAGGTAAAAAGGCATACAAGTAGGGCAAATTTTAACCTCAAAGCAAAGGTCAGTAAAGCCAGTATAATCCTGCCAACTCCTTTCTCCTTGTCGCCTAAAAATGCAACTGAATAGGAAACAAAGGCCCATCTTCTGTAGAAATAGCTACCTCCAATTATGCTCCGAATTTGAAAAGATCAAGTTTTTAACAGATCCTTTTGTTTTCACCCTTTGAAAGCACTCTGCATCTCCAATCATCAACAATTTGTCAAATTTTCTAACTATTTCAGAGACAAACAGTTGCTATCTTGAATATGGAACCACACGCCATGATTACTGTCTTTTTTTTACTCAAAAGACAATGCAACTTAGCAGCAAATAGTTAGCCTGAAAATTCTTCCTCTTCAGAGGATGGTAATGCTACAATGACTTAAAATCGCATAGCATAAACGGGAGGAAAGAGATACATATTAAAGCGATAGATATTTTATTGCATTTGACCCTGAAAAGTAACCAATCAGCAGATCGTTAGGTCAAATAACATTTTCCTACTTCCACTTCATCATCTAGGAGGGTCACCTAATGATTAGGGGGCGAGCCCTCATCAACGGTTGTAAGATCAACTAGCAATGACAAACACCACACCCACACACCCTCCCAGTGCACCAATGGGATCACCTCCTCCTTGGGATTAGTCTTCCAGCTTGTGATACCACTCCTCCCGGTCAATTTTCATTGGCTACAGGGCCTTGAGGTCGTATAACTGATCACTTAAGGCATACTAGTTATGGCTGCAGTGCTTTGCTCCCATCCAAATACCACCGATGCTGAATGGTGGGCGGGCTTCAGTAAGCCTACCTCATTGATACAGTTTACAGATTGTGGTAAAAAATGTTCCTGCTGGTCTTAATTGCCCTCACTCTCACCTCACTCATCCACGCCCGACCGCTATCAGAATTGGGGTCTCATGTTGATCAGAATGGTCCAGTTGACCCACAAATTGTCAAATGGCTTCAAAGTCAGGATCCTTCACTTATCGCCCATCTCAGTAACAACGGTAATGTCAATGAAGTCACTAATTCGCACGGTTGGAAGGACCTTTTCAAGTACATGGCACAGCTCAATGATTACTACGTACTGTTTGGCAGAGCCAGGTAAGAATAACTGGTTTTTAAAAAAATGCATATTTCAATCTCTTACATTATAATGAGCAACTTCACTGCTTGACACTAAGGAAAGGTGGAGGTGGTGGGCATAACTTCAATACCTCTTAGTAAGCTATTCATTGCAGCCATGGATGTTGCCTTTCATTTTCCTGTGGCCTTCCAATCCTCCCCAGTTATTGAGTTACATCTGATTCAATTAAGTACAGAAATAGGACAGCCCCCAAAAAATGGCCAGTAAATCCCCCAAATTCTTGCACTATCCTTCTTCCCTTTTGCAGATTTGGTTGAAGGTCGGATGACTGGAGTCGGAGGAGGACGTTTTAGATCCACCAGTCTGTAAGACTTTCACCAAAAAAGTGCGTTTCTAATGCAAAATAACTTTGTTCATACTACAAGCAACCTGCCCTCCTTTCGTCCTTCCAAGTCTTCACTCCCCACTTAGGAAGTGAGGAAGTTGGGAGACTAAAATTGACTTCTGTACTCTCTAGTGTGAAAAAGGAATGCGGATGGTGCTGAAGTAGGGCCTTGAGACTGTTAATGTGATGAAGATGGCAGTAAACTGAGAAGTTGGAACTCAGTGCTAAAATAACACTGGCATTGCCCAAAGAATACCCACTCGAAGGGGAATTCAGTTGTGATGACTCCACTTGAGACGATTATGCTCACAGGAACACTTTCGTGAGTAAGTGCATCACAGTCATAGATGGTGGTTTGTAATTAGGAAAGGTGATCATATGAAAGCCTTCCCAAGACATCCTTTTGCTTTGAAACATTCTTAGGACATAACATAAGCCGATTTCAGCCTCCATTTACACTTTTAGGTCCTCTCTTCACTTTAGCCTTTCTCTTGAATGAAAAACTGAGAGGAGGAGGAGGAGGGTAGATGAGCACTTAGGGATGAAAGGTAATTACCTAAAGTTACTGGGTGATGACAATTAAATGTTAGCATACACTGCCCAACAAAGGCTGTTCTGGCTACTCCCAGAAGCGGAAAAGGGACAGAGGGGTGAAGGTGCACTCCTTTCTTACCGAAGTTAAGACAATTCAGGTAATGCTTGGTCACAGAGGCTACAGCATCATCATTACTACATAGAAGAGGTTGAAGGATGTGTCTTTGACTTCATAAAAGTAAAATACGCTAATTTTAAGGCGACGCAAATGAAAGAGTGGCAAATAGCGTACAAATTGCTTTATCTCCTCATCACCTTTCCCTTCAATTACTTACTCTTTAATGTTTACAATCTGTAGAGGAATAGCTAATTGGATGTGTAGAGTTTACTCCCTTGCTTTTGCTTTAAATTGTTTCGTAATTTTTGTAAAATCTTGAGATAATGGCCTCCGTCTTTACATTAGCGAGTCTCATTAGGACGAGGAGGCAGAAATGTCTCCTGGGGGCTGCAGTAATACAAATAGGTGTTTAAAATGGGTCTCTTAGATTAGAGGCGGGAATTTTAATTTTAGTAGTAATGTGACCCCGGTGCAAGAATAATTATCCCTCCTTTAGTCTCCTCCTTGCATTTGGTGTCACTCGGAAGGCAAAAACCTGAAAAGCCGAGATTACATTTGAGTTTGGGGAGAAGAAGGTCACACATATCCACAAAAATGATGAAATTGGAGTCTTGAAAAGGTGCTGCTCCTTTTAGTAGCCTTCATCACTAATGACACAGAAATGAAGTTGGTAGAAGTTTGACGCATGATCAAGTCCGCTTGTGTCTCACCCATTGCAGTGAGAGTGGTCGTAAACTCAAGGAAGCCTTTCGACAATCGCCTCTTGTAGAAGGATGACATTTCTGCCGTTAATGCTAGGAAATTCCCTTAAAGAAACGTGTCAGTTGTTATTGAAAAATTTTCTACGGTCACCTCATTTAAACGATAAGCCGATTTAAGCCTTTGGTGGCGTGAATGTAGGTAGAAGCTGTTCCAACCCGGACACTGCTAGGCGCCTGTATCCGCACTCCAATGCGCAATGATTAGTGTATGTATCACAATAGTAGAAAAAGTTATAAGACTATAAGTTATAAGCTATCTGCAACTCCGAATTTGTCATGTCTACAAATAACAGCTTCATTTATTGTCAATGACAAGCGGTAATAGTAGAGTGACACTTGGAGAATGGAGGTGCATCACTGTCACTTTTCGCCCTAATTGGTAGGAGGCACAAGATGTAAGGAGTAGGCGGAAAGTGACTCCCTACTATGCTTCATTTGTCCAATTTGTACTTCCTCGGACTTCACAGATGTGTCCCTCCTGTCTTTAGGCAAAAAGAGCCAAAAATAGTTGCAAACAGTAATGAACAGGTCAACTTCGAATCACAAATGTAAAGGGTGTGAAGAGCCAAAATATGCAGATCTCTGGGAATCAAACCCCTTTTTAAAGACCAGCATCACCACCTTTTTCCTACACCCTTAGGAGATGGTCTTACTACGTTATTAATAGTTGTATATCTTTAAAAACGTCATCCACAATGCATTAACTGAGTTTATAGTACTAAGAATTCGTATCATGCAACAGACACTCTGTCGCGTACTAAAAGGTTTTCGACGTCTCGGCAACGACGCTTAATAGTCTTCCGACTAGCGGCGAAAATGTGGAGCCAATAGAATTACAGGTGCTCCTACTTTCTTAAGCAATTCGTAAGCCTTCATAGGCCCTGACAACACACGTCACCAAAGAATTACGAAGGTAACGCGATTATCTCACGGTTCAGAGTCTATCCGTCATGGTATGGCATTAGTAAACTTATTTTTTAAGGAAGTATGAAAATTGATGCAATGGGAAGTGGTCGATTTCCTTTCCAATGCCTTACTCGTTTCATTTATTGCTTAAGTCTTTTGACATAAAGATTTCCGTTGCAAATAACGTACGACCTTTGGTGACCTTGCAAATAGGCGAAGGCCTAAGGATGGAATTCGGGTTGACACTGCTTGGAGTCTGCTAATGTAGCCTTAAGGAAAGGCCGAATGACAAGATCTCTGAATAGCCCAATATTAAGTCTATAAATGACAAAAATATGCTAATATCGACATTTTACTTGTCTGTATCATGTGTCGGTGCTTTTCTAACCTCATTTTACTAAAGGTGCTTCTTAAGCCTACTTAAATGATACTTCAGTAGCGTGGGCTATGTTAGTAGCCCCAGTCCTTCTGTATGTTAGCAGCCCACCTTCGAGCAGCTCCAACAACTACATAATGGACTATAATATCTTTCATACGAAAATTGAATCTGGTTTGGGCGACTCGATGTTTCCAATACCTGAGCACTTTGGTCGTACTTGCTGCCCTCTTGGCCATGTTATTCGCCTCAGCTCTCCTGCACTTTACACTATTACTCTTTTTAACTTTTCATTGTTAAATTAAGATAGGATTTGAAGTGCCACAAAGTCCAGGAGTCCAACTACCCTTTTTCTATCCCAGGACATTGAAAAGCAGGAAAGTGGGGGCCCAAAATTAACACATATTTCATGTCACGGAGCAAGTAATAGCTGAAGTACAAAAGTCGATTATTATGATATGTTGTTAAGTTGACTGCCGGTATTGGTTACAACCACGGAAGAAGCCTTTATGCCTTGATTTTTGTACCATGGTCCCGTTTGCCTTCAAGAAGGTCGTAGGACGCTACGCAAGGGCAAATGCATTTTCGATAGGGACATTACTTACGACAGCCTATTCAGCTGTATAACCCTTAATTTTAGTTGCATTTGACCTTGCCTCCGCACCATAGGAAAAGGGGCGATCAAGAGGAAAGGGTAGAAGGGCTCGAAGGTGCTTTGACTGCCTTTCCAACCCGCAGTATTTACTTAAATGCTCTCTATATTCTTTGAGCCATATTTTTGCCACAAATGTGAAATTGTGCAAGAAAAGTAATGTAAAACAATGATTTTAAAAAGGTCACAGTGAATAATAACTGTTTTAATGATAAAAAGACGCATAAGACTTGCTCAAACATACTGAAGAACTGAAAGTCAGTGCAAAGGATGGAAAGGCAGTGGAAAGCTGCTCAATACTTGCAAAACTAACGACCCGACACAAGAATAGGTTATGCGACAAAGGATTGATCTTACCTTCATTTAACAGAGTAATGGGCACTAAGGTTTTCCTTCAATGAAAGAGTAGAATATACGCCTTAGTGCATTGCAGATCATAACATCTGATTATTTTTTTTAATCATATTGTTTGTGGCTCGCATTTTTGCTAATTACCTTGGTGATGGGATTCCCGTATCGAAAGATCGCCTTTGATGTACCCTCTATACGGCTCCCTTAACTCCTCATTAATAGTATTCGTAAAAAAATCTTTCAATCGGTGAGACCCTAAATCTTTATCATTCGTTGTTCACCCATTAAATGGCTGTTTGTCGAACTCTTTTCTACAAGGGTAAAGGAACCGCTTAATCCTGTTTTCCTTAACAGCACTGCAGGAGGCATTTCGTCAACTTGATGCTGTTTCGAGGGTTTATAATATCCGCCTTTTCACTGATCCAACTAGCCAAAATGGGCATTAGTTTGTGACAATTGCATCTCTGCGTCTCCTTTCTCAAGCCACAGCCTTAAACAAATGCATTTACCTGTTTTTTTTAATGCTACTAAAGCACAAATCAGTAGGCCTTGTTTCAAGAGTCAGTGAGCAAGCGAATAGGTCGGAAAATGACCAAGGGTTTGGTAGTAAGGTTTCATTTTGGCTACGTTGCACCGGCTTAGAACCAAGAGGTAAAAGGCACGAAAAGATGACCGTTAGTACTAAAAAGGGCATTGTGGATGGAGGTGGAGATGATGGTAAGTCTGCAACCACCACCAAAATTGCAAAGGTCCAGCTTCCATGTGGTGCGGTAGCAGTGGCAGGGACAGGTGCCAACCTAATGGGATGGGCGAAGGCTGATTATTCGGCACAAGTATTGAAGGGTGGTTGGAGGAAGAAAAATATGCTGGGATAGTAGGTGGAAGTAAAAAAGGAATGGCGTCTTGAACGGTACACAAACTTGAGTAAGGAGAACAGG